TTGTAGGGACGCTGTAAGGTTTGAACTGCAGAGAATACGATTTGGATCCTACCCTACTCTCTCCTAAGACTGTTTTCCAGACAAGCCCAGCTGTTCTGGGGAGGAACCCATGGAAGTCAGGGTCCCCTTCACTCGTGACCTCCCCTTCAACCCCAGGCTAAAGGCACCCACCCAAACCAGGGTGACCTGCCCAGCTGTCTCCCCAGGATCCCCTTAGCCAGCCTGACCCTTCTCACTGGTCGGGGGCTCTGACAGTCTCCACTTCCTCTCTAAGTCCAGAGAAGTACTTTAAAGTCAAACTGATTTTAAATGTTTAGAATGTGGCTTCTCTCTCCCTCATCTGGCCTGGGGAAGCCTGGTCTTCTGAAAGCAATGGCTCTCATCATTGAGAGTGCATCAGAAGAACTGAACCCCCATCTCACTCCCATTCTGGAGGCATTATCTTTGAATCTGCCTTTTAACAAGCTCCCAAGGCAATCCTGATAGTGGAAGCTCCCGGACTTCACTTTGAGAAATTGTGTTCAGTGGGAAAGGGTCCACAGCCGGTACTTACTTGCTGTTCTCATCCACCCAGCTGTATCCCCTTGTTAATAACTAGCACAATGCCCCAGGCACTGCAGGGGCTCTGGGGGTCGGAGGGATGGATGGGGGAGGGGAGACAAGGGAGGGCGGTTCAAGAAAGGTGGACTTGGGCTGACAGAATTCCCAATTAACATGGCAAGACAAGCCGGAGGGAAGCACTGCAGTTCTTATAAAAACGTCTCTCTGAAAAATGTGTCAACCAGGGCTGAGTCATTTTTAACGAAGAATTCTGTAAGAGACACAAGAGCATGTACAACATGGAAGACATGGCCGCAAGACAGGCCGACCAGATGCAGGCTGGGGAGCCATGAGCTGCAAGTGAATGAAAACGCATCCAATTCAGAATCAAATAAACATGCCTGGGCCCACAGCCAAGGAGAGTTCTTGGATTGGACTTTTATCAGGACCTAAATTTTAACCAGCTGGAACTTCTTTTCCAAGTACCACCCTATTCCTTCCTACCTTTCGAAATGAAGTTATTTGCCTTAAATGGGAAACTTGCACTTCATTGTAAAGACGATGCCAGCATTCTGGTTTCCTGAATTCCTGAAGGAGCAGGCTTTTTGCAGGCTAGACATTTGTTTCAGAGATAAAAGACCAGAGAAGATGTACCTCACCTAGCCAGGAAGGCATTCTTGTTCCCTCCTTCTCCACTGCAGAAAATGCCACTAAATAAAAACCTGTGGAAGCTGATGCCTAATTCTTTGTTCCATAAATGCTTTTCAAACAACCAGCAAGACAGGGGAGGGGGGGGGACCTCAAAGCAACTGACTGACATAAAGTTACCCATCACAAACACAATCATTCCACTATCAGGAAACAAGAGTTAAGGTCCAGTGTAAATGAGGATGCTAGCCCCTCAGGAAGTTTTAGAAATTGTTACTTCTTTGGGAAAACTATTTATTACTCCAATAGTTTACCTGGCAAGGGCCCTAAGAGATTTTTTTTTTTTTTAAGCAGTTGAGGAAGTGTGCCCACAACTCATTTCTAAAACACTGAGCTGTGTTCAAGATGGTATCAGCCCCTTAATTGTCCCACTAATAATGGGGAGGTTGTGAAATCTGACCACTTAAACCAGGCCGGCTCCTCAGAGAGGTGTGTTAGCAGAGCTCCTGTGGGTTAGCTGGCTGCGGTCTACCTTGCAAGTCCTGGGAAAATACACATTCCTGCAGGGGCAAGAGTTCGTGGAACAAATGCTCCATGGAGATCAAGGGGGTCATTTGCTCAGTTCCTCGGGAGCACCCAGATCCTGCCCCTCCTTCAGGGCTCATTTTTCCACCCTGGTGTCCCCTTCTCAGGTTCCATGTGACCTAGACCCACAGGAAACTGTCTCCTGTTTGCCTCACACACAATCGACCCTTCTTGTATGTCTGCATGGCCCCAACTAGACTGTAAGCAACCTCATAAATGAGACCAACATTTACGGGCTAAACACCACTATCTGGTAGGGGACTCAGACATGAATCGAATGCCCAAGTCACTGTTCACCAGTATTCACTGGCCAGTCCTCTGACAGAGCAACTTCTGGAAGAACTAATGCAGGGAGGTGGGGGCAGAGAAGGCTTCCTGCAGGAAGTGCTGCTCGAGCAGAGAAGGGACGCTGAGGGGTAAAGAAAAGGAACACAGACAGGAACAGCATGTGCAAAAGCGTGCTAAGGAGAGGACACTGGGGCTCAGTGCTCTCATCTCTCCAATCCACTTCCTAAAATATATCACTTAATACAGGATTTAACAGGAAGGCTGCAGAGTCTAATTGGGCTCAGCCAAGACTTACAGGGCTCCAGGCTTTGAGGCCACTAAGATGAAGTATGTAGTTAAGGAAAACCATCCTAAGACACAGATGTGAACAAATATTGAGATGGTAGTCTGGTGGGAACCAAAGTGCAAGGACCTGCATGAGAAAGCAAACCAAGGGGAATGGCATTTAGGGAGGTCTTCCCTGCGGTGGCATCACCTGAGCTGAGTCTTTGGCCAGGGGGAAGGCATCCTAGGAGCAGAGAAAGTATGCTTCAGCAGCTTTAGCTGGCACAAAAGTTAGGGAGCAGGCTGGAAAGGTGGGCTTGCAAGACAGGTAGGCAAGGGGGGTTGGGGAGAGCTGGTGGCTCCATCAGATGTACCAAAAGGCAAGTCCAGGAGGGAAGCAGCCATGTATCAGGTTGGAAAGAGTGTAGAATCTGAGAGATGGTCCAGAGACTTCCATGCTCATTCAAGAAGGAATGAAAATGACCCAAGGAGAGGATTAGTGGGA